TAATCAAGGAAGAAAAATCACCTACTTTTCTGTTTTTTTTTTCAAATTTTTTATTGTTTTTTAATATAACATACCTTTTTGATAAATTTAACGATTTGAGAGGTTATTCTACATTGGAAATGACAATAAAAAATATTTTAAAATTGTTATAGAAAGTTACAAAACGTCTTCTGCAACGTTGTAGAAATATTTCATAAAAATGAGTTCATAGTGTAACATTATAAGAATTGAATGTTGTTGCTGTGATATTTTCTACGTTTATAGGAATGTCCTCCCAAAAAAACTATGTAAACTAATAGTTTCCACGCCTAACATCCGAATATGTACCTGTTTGTGAATTCTTGTACAACATACCAATATTTCAAGAAAATAGGAGGTGTGACCCATAAACAATTACCTGTTTTTTTTCCTTCGGTTCACTCTATCGTCTTCTGTAATTATTTATTCTTATATCTTTCACGTCAGTTCCATAATACCAGCCTACATATACATATAAAAATCATGGAGACAGGTTTCAATCTACGATATATATTCAATTAAAACTATTCTAACTAGGTACACCTAATTTTGGAGTAAATTAGATGGAAATTGGTAAAATGATTGCATGGAGAAAATAAAAAAGAAAAATTTACCTAAATACTAAAGCGATATTTACAATTTGTCCCACTAGCCAGTTGGTTCGTCAGAGAAAATAATAAAAATTACAATTTGAACCCCGAATTTTTAAAAATAAAATCCCAGCAGAAATAAATTTACTAATTATTTTAGTTGATATTACAAATTAAATTGTAATAATTANCAGTTCACATCAAGTCAGAGTTGGCAGTCCTTGGTTTAGCAAGCCATTGTTACAGTAAATATTTTTTTCTTTTTTTTTTTATATAGGTATCTACCATTCCGCTTATTATTAGCATTAATTAAAATAGATGCGACTTACAGATATTTTTAGAAAAAAAAATCGTTGCGCAATATTTTGCAATCATATTTCGAGTATGCTCACAGCAACAAAGATACCCATTTAGAATTAAAAAAATTTTATTGAACAGCATTATTTATATGGATATAAAAAGAAAACTATAAAATTTAAAATACCTCGTACTCGTACTTAATAACATATAGTCTCTTCCAGTCAAGCTATTATGCTAATTTGAAAATAACACCTTTACCCTTATGTAGATCAGAATATAAAGGGTGTGTCTAGGATTAATTAGTATTAGTGTAATTTGCTCTTCGTTTTTAATTAATTGTTTAAAGTTGAAATGTAACTTTTTGTTTCTTTTACTTTGCTAAAAACTTGCATAACAGGTGCAATAAGTTTCGTTACAATTTCGTAAGTGTGATGAAGCGAATTTACATCTAAAGGTGCTTCCTTCCTAACTTCCCACAATTACACCCCACCACTTATTGTAAGTAACATAGGCGCACCAGTTCGTTAAAAACGTTATTCGTATGAATAAGTACTACAGCTATAATCAACGTTCAGCATACAACTCAGAGAAAACTGTAGAACAAACTTCTACAATTGTAGAACTTTTCATTACAAATAGTAGCGAATATATAGGGACAGAAACAAGTTGTAGTGAAAATTAATATAAAATTGTAATTACCTTTTTTCTTACAAACTGTTTCTCTCTCTACTACAACGTTAAAGAATATGTACTGCAAATTGATCACAAAAATGACTTTTCATTGTAGCATACTTGTTTACAAGAAAGAATTATACAATATAGTGTTGTAGGTATGCATGTATCTGAGAGAGAACAGAAAACTGAAACGCAAATAAATATTCAATAAAAATTGCTACATTTTTTCTTTATATTTTCTACAAAATTTATTTAATGTTACTACAATTTGTAGTGAAATTCACGCAGTTGTTGTCGTAAATATTTCATTTAAATTGTAAGTAATTTGTCTGAGCCCCTGTCGATATTTCTCCTACAATTTACCACTACAATTTAATAGTCAAATTTAAGTTTACCGTTGGTTAACCTTACTGCAAATTTGGGTTGCATTTCCTACAAAACTGCCTCTACAACGTTGTAGTAATTTTTCATAAAGCATTTTTTATGGGTGTAGTTTTCTTCATGTGAAAAGGTGTATGCGTGTTTATCATTTTTGTAACATAAACCATTTCTGAATTTTGAATGTATGATAGATTAATTCTTTTTGTTGTTAATGAAATTTTATCAAAAGCCACATAGTGTTATTGTCCGTAGTGACCAACATCCGTTTAATGTGGTTAGAATCAGAACTGTGTAGAAGATTTACATACGTTTCAAACATGTTCATTTGCTTTTACTATAAACCACTAATATCATGAAGTGAGGTATCTCCATTATTTAAGTATTTACTATCTCTAGACGGCTATATTATTGTACATATGCAACCGATCCCCTTTCCTTATCATCACAAAACTCTAGACCACGATAAGAAAAAAAAAATATTTTTTCCACCGATATTTGCCTTCATACTTCTGTTTGCCTACCTACACATTCATAGACTTAAAAAGTTAAATAGTTGTGTAAATAAAAATTTCTATACATGGTGAATGTAGAGGGCGTCAATTTTATCAAATCATAGAAGAAGTTAATAAATACATGGATTCTAAAATTGTACTCACCATATCCCTGGCTCTAAAACCAAATTTACAGTCTCGACAGCTTCAAACCTGTGACCTAAAAAATAAGAAAGAGCTTTATTAATTTTTCATCTTCCTGCGTTTTTCATTTTCTTTTTTAATAACAGATTCATTTAAGATAATGTTTTTCCAATTTAAAACAATTCCTTGATGTTTTATGTGGATATTAAAAAAAGTTCATGAAAATTTTAGTAGGTGCGATAAAAGGGACATTTTTTATTTTAATTTAAATAAATTCCTTTCCTTTTATCTGTAGCCCTAATCGACCATTCTCTAGCAATAACATTATAAATACAGTAGAGTAATTTCTTAATAATAATTTACCATACACTGCAGTGTACAAATCAAAATAATTGCATAAAATTGTAATCCGGAACCTCTTTTGCAATTAATCAATAAGGAAACGGTTAATTTTTAATTAAAAAAAATTGTATGAATAACAAAATTGTTCTAATTCAAATTGTAATAATTAAATAATTTCTTAATACTTACAAAAGTATCTATTCGCTAATGTAGGATGAGTTGTTCTAACAGGTTCAGATTTTGAATTGCGAGGGTAGGAAATATAATTTTAATGTCAACGAACAGTTGCAAAGAAATGTTTACGTAACACGACGAAGGTTTAATAACACCGCTAAATTTTTCTTAGCGTCAGCGACACGTTGCATAAATTGTTACCTTCAATATTAAAAAGTGGCTGTATTAATATACCGGGTGTCAAAAGGTAAATAAATAAATGTAAGCCAACTGTTACTGGTGTCACACAATAATTCAGCAAAGGAAAAAGAATATTAAGTTATATACTTCGTTATTTATTTCAACAACTTCCTGGTTTATTACATTTGGAGCGATTTATGAAATTATGGAGTTACTACGTATATTTATAAATCATAAAAAAATTTGGTTATCTCTTTTGTAGCAATGGAACCCTTTTTAAAATGTGACCCTTATTAAGACTATTCTTTATTTTTCTGTATACAAAATACTGAATAGTCATGATCAGGGTGCAGATGATTTAAATCAATTTGAACAACTTAAAATCTAGCTAAAGTTATATTTACAAAAAATATTTTAAAAATGATTTTTTTACAAAATTATTGTTTTTTTTATTACGATTTTTATTAACATTGATCATAAACGCGACATCAAGACATCTCAATTCTAAATTATTCTTTCTCACTACACCTACTATTTTACCTTTGGCATTTTTAGTTTTTTTTAATAGATTAATCAAGGAAGAAAAATAATTACTATCATTCAAAAAAGTTCAAGCTAAAAACTATCGCTCAAATAAACTTTAAAAAAAAAAAATTTTGGCTCATGTGCACGTTCAACTTCACATATCCCAAAACGCTTTGTTTAATGTAGAGTGATACCAAAATACCTATTACTTTTTTAGCCAGATTGAGAACTTTTGTAATTTTTTTGATGAGCATGATTGTTAAATGTCTTATTCCAGAAAATTTCACTTCCTGGTTGAGAGGGTAGTAAAAATAACATGCGCACCAGGGGGCGAACGTTCTTTGCATTTCCTAATTTGTAATCTATTAATATTATAACGGAAATCAAGTTATGTGAGATTTAGAAACAAAGGCTTTCACGGCCGGAATCCATAGTAGAATGAAGATTCGGGCTATAGGGCTGTGACAGTCGCTGTCGAGACTTCGAGATATAATCCACGTCCACGTTGTCAACGTAGCACTACCACTGAGGATGTCAGCCGCAGTAGCTGACGAAACGTCTAGACGGAATAGTTCACTTAGACCACGGCTAAGGCGGCCAACTTTATAAATAAGTCAATGCGGGACAACAAGACTGAGGATTTTTTGGACTTGTTGGTGGTGTACTTAAGTTAGAAACAAACAACACTACTACTGAATTAACATTTATTTTTAAAGTCATATTTTTCGCATGAGTGGCATTTTTTACAAGGTCTGAGTTTTGGTTCAGAATGAGGGACATACGGGACGCCTTAGACGATTTGCGGGACTATTTTATTAAATATTGCAATGCGGGATTTCAACTGTCATTACGGGACGGTCCCGCAGAGTGCGGGACGGTTGGCCGCCTTAACCACGGCCCTTTAGCCCGAATCTTCATTCTATTATATGAGATTAATATTTACTTGTAAATTTACATTGTCATTTTTACTCTCGTGCTAGCGAAACGTTAGGAAGTAACTTCAACATACAACGGCGTTCTGAAATCCAAATCTGAACAGCATCAGTTTACCTACTGGCCATGAAAACCTTTATCAATTTGTCATGTTGGGTTATATGAAACTTAAAATATACAATAGCGAAAAAAATCCAATTACGTCCCTGTACACATGCTAGTAGTAATTGAAATACTGGGCATATTTGTAAAATTGATTAACACAACGAAATTTTTAGACTAATTTCAAGATTTCAAATTATAAACGGTCTAGTTGGAATAAGAAATCGAAAATACGTCAAAGAATTCAAAAGATTACTTCTAAAAATTTTCAAAAACTTGCCGATTGCTAATCATTTCAAACGTTTATCAATTAAGGATTATTTTATATTATATAGTAGAATTTAGAGTATGAAATATCTGCAGGATATTTACATGGTGAGGTGGCACTATTGATAATTATTAATATTTTTTTAAAATTAACTGTTAACTCAGCTATAAAATTGTATCATTCTCTTACTGTGTATGTATTTTCTTATTCTAACATGAGCAAAATTTTATTAATAATTTATGATTTCAAACTAAATGCCGTATTATAATAATCTAATGTAACTCGTACTTATCTCAATAAATGCCCAAATTGGGTCATTTGGACTATACAAAATTCATGCTGAGTAATTAATGGTAACAACATCATCCTAAAGTTAATATCACAGCGTGTACTTTAAATGTTTAATAAGACAACTCATTTAATAGCAATGTGACACTCACCTTCTTCTATTAGTTTCTGTACTATGTTCACCATATCTTTCGCTTCCCTTTTGTAGAACTCGTTCTCCGTTTCGGGTTTTAATTCTAATACTGTGACGTCATTAAGGAAATTTTTATCGTGCATTTTTAAAACAATAGCTAATGTTGAATAATTCGAGTACAATGAGTAGTTTCTATGCTAAACAACTACAATATTACGACAGAACGATAGGTAAATTTACAACGAAAAAAAATACCGCTTCAAGCGTTCAATTATCTTACACAACTTTATTATATCTATTTAAAAAAAGTTATGATGAGTTCTTTTAAAAATATTATTTTGCTTTGTTTTATTTTTAAAAAAGGCGAGGAATTTCTTAAACTTTTTACAATTTATTGCAAAATACGAAATGGAAAATTAAATATTAGAAATCGTAAATTTTCATCTTCACTACAATTTACATTTATGTACATATGCTTCAACTTCCTGTTGTCTGCAACTTTGCACATTACCTTTCATTTTAATTAATCGTAAGTTATATTTCACTGACTTTTATTAAATAAAATGCGAAAAGCTTCTTGCAGTGGACAAGCGTTTATATGTTTCAGAACCTGAACCCCCTTATCTTTTTCTAAGCATGCGGATCAACAAAATATTTGAAACTTTTCTGGATTTCGTCTCAAAATCAGTTCGTAGGTACAACAATGGCATAGAAAAATTCTTCAAGAGACAAATTTTAATAGATAACGAGCAAACATAAACAACAATTTAAAATTGCGCTATTTATTATTTTTGCTGCATTTGACAACGTCGCACCTTATAAAAAAAAATAGAATGTTTCAAACACTTACCGGTTCCAGATTCAATTTGACTTTTAGAGGAAGTTGTTTGTGAAAAGATGAACAACCGAAGTAACAGTGACGTATTCTCGTTCTAAACGAACCAGAGTAAGCTGACTTTGTGTTCATTTATTCCAGAATGAATAACTAAACACTAAAACGGAATAATGTTTTACCGATATGACCATAGGTAACCCAAAGGTACGGCACAATCGTACAATAAGCTCATTTTTTTTTCAAGGTACGGCATTATCGCAGACTTACGTAGCAAACTTTAATAACTTCTTTAGAAACGTAATGTTGCTTTCTTTGAACTAAATTTCAAATAGAAGAGATACTAAGATAAGGCGAACTTTTTCAAAATCAAACAAACTTCAGAAAAACAATGTGGCTATCGCTTTTTAAATGGCTTTACATATTTTAACATACATTAAGATTACCTACTAGAAATAGATTTTTTGAATATAGTAGAAGTTTTTCGCGTCTATCGTTATTGTTATTTATTCTTGAATAAATATTCTGAACTAAATATTAGCTATGTATTGCGTAGTTTTTTTAAAATAAGATAACACCAAAGGTGACTAAATCATCAATTTTAATAATAATCTTATTCGTAGGAAAAAATTACATCTCTTTCTGAAGACTGATTTAACAGTCCTATTTATCTGAAATTGTAAACCATCCCTAAAAATCAAAACACGGTTATTTTATGATTTCCTAACATTTTAGTGTTGACTTTTGAAAATTGGCTCTAAAATTCTTTAGTAGGTATTTCTTTGAATATTTCTTGCTGGACTTGTAAGTTTCGAGGTGTGATAAAGACGTAAGTCGTTAATAAACGACTACCGTTTTTGTAAATTTGCTATGCTTCAGGTTTCGCATTACAATTCGCTATGTTTTGTAAACAAAAATATGTGCGTGTGTTGACCGTTTACGACACCTATATATCGTTGTTTACAACAATAAGTCACTTACAGCTTTTATCAATTCTTTAAAAGGAATTTAACACTATCCTACAGTAGATGCCGCCACATAGCCCATTTGTCGATTAAATAAACACATTTTTGATAATACTTTAATTAATTTAATCGCAAGATAAGGATTTCGTCAAAATATGTACTGGTATAGTCGAAATTTAACTTATCTTGAAATCCAAAGCTATTCGTTAGTATTGATTAAATGTTGATTTACGTAGCGCAATTTCTGAAAATATTTTACCCTCCTACCACCCCTTGTAAAGCACCATAACATTCTGCGTTACCCCACTCCCTAATCGTCTCTAAACATTACGTAACTCCCATGTATCTAACCATTTTACCTAAATACATTGCAGAATGTCATTTTTTTAACAAGTATATAATCTTACGTAACCCCTCGTACCCCTTCTAACAAAACCGCAACGTTTTATAAAACCCCGCCCTGCCCCAATTGCTTTACGTGATACTTGAACGACTTTTAGGTATTGCACGAAAACAAAAGTCGCAAAAGTATGAAGAATCAGGCAGTCAGGAAACAAAAAAATCAAAAGAATGACGAAAGGGAAACAAATGATGCCTCGCCTGGCGACTATGTAGTGACCACTGTGTGTGTCATGAGTCTTAAGTCAATTAAAATCACCTTATCTAACCTTGAACTCGGTTTCTCCTTTGCAGCGTAAATTTATTCGCACTGTTCTAAAAAAGAATACCGACGACATTATCTCATTTATAGCAGTATATATAACCGTATTTTTAATGAAAAAACTATGTGGTAAAACAAAAATACTGGTATACAAGGGAAGAACAGGTAGGGAAAGAGCGAATATAAACATAGGAGACGAAAAATTAGAAGAAGTGGCTGATTTTAGGTATCGAGGAAGTCAGATAAGTCAGGAAGGAAGGAGTAGTAGGGATATAAAGCAGAGAATAGCGCAAGAAAGGAAAGAGTGTAGGTGCGTCTCCAACCAGTCTTAGGACTGACGACCTTATGATGATGATGATGATGATTTTGATCCTATTAATGAGCCGCGGTTAATATTTATATTAAAAAGGATACAATTGAGCATATCAGGAACACTTTGGGGCACATCGTCGGTTTTGTTAAACCTCGCAACTTCCTTTCGAAGGTCATGGAACACGGTGTAGTAAAAAGGCAGGTCAATCTCTTTCCGGCAGGCTTCCGGGTGAAGGCATTGCCTGAGGGGTAGCTGACCGTCGGTTATTATTCGAAACCCGGGGCTATGAGGATCCACGTGAATACTCGTACAATAACTTTCGAATTCGAGCAAGGCGCTGTCCAACAGTCTTCCGGATGATTTAATAAGTTCGTCCGTGAGAACGGATTCAGACGTGAGTTGTTCTGATAGGATGTTTTCGTTGACGTCGGCAGCCAACGGACGAATAGGATACTGTTGGATACCAACAATCTGAAAAAAAATAAACAATAAAATTAATAGGCAGGTCGGCTCATTCACTTTTCAAATATTATTAGTGTGGAGGGTAGAGGTAAGGAGAACTATCTCATATGGGGGGAATGTTGAAAAAGTGACCAGCTATAAGCAGTAAATAACAGTTCAAAAACCCTCTAAAATGGCACCAGTGTAGGCATATGAATGTAGCAGTTGTTGACGGATTGATGAAGTGGTTAAATTTAATATTTTTAGTAACTAGTAACTCAAAAATCTTAACTAGAATTGTACAGAGGAGGATGGGAAAAAAGGCGGAAGAACTATTAGGGGAAGATCAATTTGGGTTTAGAAGAAATACGAGGGTGGATTGATAAGTTTCCGGCCTAACCAAGAGATGACGCCACTAGGCCTACCTTGAGGTGACATTCTATAGTACCATCCTTGGATAGCTTGTAGCTATAGTTTCAGCCCGATCTCCTTGCTAGTGTAGGTTTGACAGCACGCTGAACAAGACGCCTCTGTGGTTTTCGTAAAAATGGAAAAGCAGGAAAATCGTGCTGTCATCAAATACTTTTATTTGAAGGGGTTAACGCCGAAGGAAATTAAAAAAGAGATGGACTCAACACTGGGGACATCCTCCCCGTCATATTCAACCGTTAAGCAGTGGGTTTCCGAGTTTAAAAAGGGTCGTGTGAGCACCTCTGATGGGCCTCGCTCAGGACGCCCCGTTGAGGTCACAACTCCAGATATGATCGAAAAAATTCATCAAATAGTGCTGGGAGACCGCAGATTGAAAGTGCGTGAGATAGCTGAGACCTGTAAGATGTCATATGAACGTGTGCAACATATTTTGCACCAACATTTGCATATGGAAAAGCTCTGTGCAAGATGGGTGCCGCGTTTGCTAACAGTCGACCAAAAATTGATTCGAAAAAACATTTCTACCGCAAATTTGTCATTGTATAAGCGTAATCCAAGCGAATTTTTGCGTCGATTCGTAACCGTTGACGAAACGTGGGTCCACCACTACACTCCTGAAACCAAAGAACAGTCTAAACAGTGGATTGGACCAGGGGAACCAACTCCAAAGAAGGCAAAAACAATTTTTTCGGCGAACAAGGTTATGGCTACTGTTTTTTGGGATGCAAGAGGTATTATATACATTGATTACCTTGCAAAGGGTAATACTATCACTGGTCAATACTACGCAGACTTATTGCAACGTTTGAGCCACGAGGTGAAAATTAAACGACCTCATCTGGCGAAGAAAAAAATCTTGTTTCATCACGATAACGCACCAGCGCACACGTCAATCGTTGCGACGGCTAAAATCAACGATCTAAAGTTTGAATTGATGCCGCACCCTCCTTACTCTCCAGACCTAGCCCCGAGTGACTATTTTCTGTTCCCTAATCTCAAAAAATGGCTTGGCGGTAAGAGATTTGCGGACAATGAAGAAGTAATCGAAGCTGTAAATGGTTATTTTGAGGAGCTTGACGAATCAGTCTATAGAGATGGCATTAATAGACTGGAACACCGCTATGAGAAATGTATCAGCCTTGGAGGAGATTATGTTGAGAAATAAAAAAAAAAAATTTTTAAAAACCTTGTTTTTCTTGGTCAGGCCGGAAACTTATCAATCCACCCTCGTAGAGGAACGCGGGTGGTCATTCCAGCTTTGCGGGTAGCAATAGAGAAAACGTTAAAAAAAAGAAACAGTGCTTACGTTTAATATTTTTCTTTGTGATATATGGAAAACAGACAGTAAAAGAGCATTGTCAAATTTTAGTTTGTTTATTCTTTTATAACCAGCACGTAGAAATATGCAACGTTACTGTTAAGCCGTGCATGTAGCTCTTTAATGAATTGCGTGTAATGTTCTTTTATGGCACATAATCTTTTGAAATTGTATTGTAACATATACTTCTACAAGAGGTAGATTTAAATACAATGTTACATTGCAATTCCTTGCCTTTAATAGTAAGCACGTCTCTCTATTAAATTGTCTTAGAAACGCTCGAAATGGTTAATATATTTGCATGCTAGCGAAAATTATTAATTAATTCATCTATTAAAAAAAGTTCAAGCTAAAAACTATCGCTCAAATAAACTTTAAAAAAAAAAAATTTTGGCTCATGTGCACGTTCAACTTCACATATCCCAAAACGCTTTGTTTAATGTAGAGTGATACCAAAATACCTATTACTTTTTTAGCCAGATTGAGAACTTTTGTAATTTTTTTGATGAGCATGATTGTTAAATGTCTTATTCCAGAAAATTTCACTTCCTGGTTGAGAGGGTAGTAAAAATAACATGCGCACCAGGGGGCGAACGTTCTTTGCATTTCCTAATTTGTAATCTATTAATATTATAACGGAAATCAAGTTATGTGAGATTTAGAAACAAAGGCTTTCACGGCCGGAATCCATAGTAGAATGAAGATTCGGGCTATAGGGCTGTGACAGTCGCTGTCGAGACTTCGAGATATAATCCACGTCCACGTTGTCAACGTAGCACTACCACTGAGGATGTCAGCCGCAGTAGCTGACGAAACGTCTAGACGGAATAGTTCACTTAGACCACGGCTAAGGCGGCCAACTTTATAAATAAGTCAATGCGGGACAACAAGACTGAGGATTTTTTGGACTTGTTGGTGGTGTACTTAAGTTAGAAACAAACAACACTACTACTGAATTAACATTTATTTTTAAAGTCATATTTTTCGCATGAGTGGCATTTTTTACAAGGTCTGAGTTTTGGTTCAGAATGAGGGACATACGGGACGCCTTAGACGATTTGCGGGACTATTTTATNACAAACTGCATTCTAAAAACACAACTTTTCAATGTTTATTTGTTATCTCTCACTAGTTCTAATCAAAAAAACATATTATTCGTGTTTAATTTATCTGAAAATAGGTTTTGGTCATTAAGTAAATTATTTAGTTTTGTAAACGAAGCGTTTGCATATCTCGTAACTTTGTTTTTAACACTAATTGTTGGCAATGGAAACTTAATATCCAAACAAGGTATTTTTTCACGGAATTTGTAGTAAAAACACAATTTAACAATTTAGGAATGTATATATGTACAGTATACATCCATGGAACATGTGACTTATTTATTTGTTGAAGATAGATCTTATAACATTGAAAAGAAATAAGAAATTTTTTTATCTTTTTCATGAAAACTAATATTAAATTTTAGGGAATAATTTTAACAATTCAGTTTCACTAAATAAAATGTCACCGCCACTTTTTAATTTGTTTATTGAAGATGTGATTAATATTATAAAAGACAGAACTACTTTAGGGATGGATATACCTACAGAAACTAAAGATTAGCTTGCTTGGATTTGCCGGACGATACAGAAGTATTAGTATTTAGCAAGAGGAGTTAGAAGCAGCTTTAGATAAAATTGACGCGGTATTAACAGAAGAGTATATTATGAAAACAAAGCAGGACTATTGATATGTAAGGAATATAAAAATAGAGTTAGAACCAATATATAGCTAGGACACAACAAACTAATGTCATTTATTTATTAAGGAGTCGGATAACTCAGGATTGAAAAAGCGCTAGAGATACAAAACAAAAAATAAATCGAAATGGAACTGGAACAAAAATTGAAAAGTCAATAAGAAATAGACAAGATAAATTGGTAGGACACCTTCTTAGGTATGATAGAAGTAGAAAGAGAAGTTAATAGGAACTAGATTAAATTACTATTTGCTCTAGTTTATAAGAAATGCGAAAATTGGTTCAAGATAGAAAGAAGTGAAAGTACGTGTCCAACGAATCATCCGGATGAGGGCCTTATGATGATGATGATGATTATGGTGATGAAGAAGAGTGTCTCTCCGCAGTGGCTGTACCACAAGACATGATTTGAACCTTGTTTGAAAGTAGTAGGAATAAATTAGTCTAAAACAAAGTTTCTTAGCCTGGGGTTCACGGATCCTTGACGGGCCCATGTCATGAGCGCAGGGTGTCCATGGCTAGCCCACTTAACATAATGAGAATAATAAAGAATGCAATAATTTGGCGTGATCGATTTGATTCTTCTTGTCAATGAACGGCGCTCTTTTGTTCGGAATACCTTAATAAAAAAAAATTGGTGCGGAGTCCATTTTTGGTTAACATTATCTAGTAGCATCAGTGACTAAATAAGGACAATCTCATTGATTTGAGATCCAAAGTAGTATTAGATACGAGTTGATTTCAGTGTAAAGAATGTTAGCAACTTTTAGTGTTTTTTAAGGCAAGCTTACACTCTCTTTGTTAAACGAGTCATGACTATTCTATTCTATGTAACAGCATAATATCTTTCCTACTTGTGTTGTTTATCCAACTTAAGCAGCAGGAATCTTCTTGTAATATAATTGGTAACTCTAGAGTTCATTCCTACTTAATGAAAAGTACTTTTAATTTTCCTTATCTTGTCTTACAATTCCATTTGAGCTGGGTCAGATATTTTTGAAATTTTGAAACTTGTCCACAACTTCAACAAAGTTGTGAAACTGGTCTAAATGCTACCCAATTGCATTGATGATCAGTCATAAATTCATTCATTTTCGAACAGAAATTTTGTCGAAACTGTAAGACGCGGATCGCGATTTGGATCTTGTTGGAACTCTACCTGCTACAGGTAGGTAGAGTTGGTCTATGTTCTGTCGAAACTGTCTGCCACGCGCTGGTGTGGTGTTATCCAACAAGATCGAAATTGCGACCCGCGTCTGGCAGTTTCGGCAGTATAGTGATCACTACGAATTTCTTTGTTCGATTTTGGTAACGTTCCTATCACGGAGGGTAAGCTACGCCGTGGATTCAGTTCAGCAAGTATATATCCATATATTTAAATGGATCTTGTTGAGCATGTTGAATTGTACTAAAATGCAGCATTGTACTACAGATGGCGTTTACCACGTCGTTTGTAGAATATCATACATTTTATTATCTTAAAACAAAACCGAGCACGTCCATTTTGAGGAACTTCTCAGGCATATGTATCATTTATAT